TTGGTACACTGTGCGACGGCCCAGGACCTGGGGATGCCAGGTGATTCTCTACAAAACCTTGGCTAGCACCAGTGTTCGTGGCCTACTCAGGCCTATCCACAAGTGCTCTACTTGATGGGTCGACTCGTTGGAGGGGAAGTAACAAGAAAGCACCTCTACCGCCAAACTGTGCCCCTGGTTGGAGAGCACTTCTGAGCAATATCCAGGGTCAAGCGTACTCTTATTAGACACGCATATGGATGAGTTTCACACTTTATTGATCCGGAGGCGAAAAAAATTATATGCTCTAAACGAATGAACTCGCAGCGTGCCACGCTCCCATACACGTAAGAGCGAAATGTTTGCGGAGGCGTGCTGCAGGGCGGCGGTAATTACCTATTGTGACAAGAGCCACTGTGGTACTTTAATTCCAGTGGCAAGGAGACACATCTCCCACGTGGCCATACCGCGCCGCCTTCCACCAGGAGGGTGCTTCTGCGCGTTAGCGGTAATCGCAGGTACTCCGATCAAAACTCATGGTCGGAGTACTTCAAGCAAAGCCGAGCCGATTTAATGCGAAGACCCATCATTGCGACCCACTTTAAAGGAAAACTGGGCGGGAAAGGGGGAAAACATCATCCGTAAACGCGACATCAAAAACGTCGACCGAATCTGAACATATGTTGTAAGTTTGGCGTAGTATGACGCATATAAAAGTCTTGGGAAGATGTATGGTCACGTCACGAACTCGAGTTTGTTACCCCATAAGTGATATTCTTCTCCAGCGCCTTCTATCCATTCCTTCGCTCGCCAATTGGTCCTAATTAGTTTCAAAGGTTGAAACGAATGGATCTGCACTCCTAAGCGGCCGGCAAGAAATGTCTGAAACTATTCCCCTGCTGGCGTCTTTATTGTGATTAATTGATTTCACGGGGTGAGTATATTTGACAATCCGAGAATTCGATTTCCATTTGGAAATTTGCATGAAATTTCGTTTCCTGAAAATAATGGGCTAGGGCTAATTGCCGCTGGATGTGCTCAACTAGTACGCTGTAGATTATATGCTCTCTCTGTAATGATCTGCTGCTGCTGCTGCGCATGGTGAACGGCGGTCGTACCTGACATACCAATAAAATATACCATGTGCGTCTCGCGTCGCCTGGAAAAAAGGGGTTCATATTCCGCTAGAAGAAACTCCTTCTGTTTCCTCTTGCTCCGTCGTTGATCTGTTTCACTCTTCTTCTTAACGTTTTCTGTTTTGCGCCACGATGCCCCTCAACTGGTTTAACGACACCGCAAAAATATTCTAATAATGGTCAGCCCATATAAGTAATAGCGTTTTTTCCACTGAAAATATCGCGCTGAAGAAGAAAAGTTTTGCCATTGCGTTCTAAACCGTTTTGCAGAGAATTTCGTGCCCCACACGGTATCTTCTCAGTTTTCTTCAATTTTCTCTTTCCATTAATATTTACTCTAAAACTTAGGAAGTGTCAGGTCGGTGTGTCGAGGATCAAAAAAATTGAGCATTTTCGAGAGTCTCCCTTTTTTTTATTTTATGCGTCTGAATTAAAATGTGCTAAAACCGCATTGATCCAGCTGCTATAGTATTGGGTTGGCACATAAGTACTTTCGTTTTTTTTTTCAACCGGAAATTTCGTTCCAAAGATGAAATGTTTTGCTAGCAAGCTTGATATCATCTGATAGGAAACTTCACGTAGTTTTAGAATATCAAAACGGCTTCGGTTGAGGGAATAATTTTTGTGGATTTTTTAGTCGTTGAAGTTGAAAGCGAAGTCGGCGAAAATTAGCACCTTCGACAACTGCCTCTATTTACGTATAGTCGAAGTGCTAAAATCGCTTAAGCTGCTCCATACATTTGGAAAAGGTCGAGCTAGAAGTTCCAGCAAGGGAATCTCACTAGGACGCTTTGGAACGAATTTCAAGAATTTTGAAGTTACCAACCTTCACCTCGCCGATATTGGGCAGCTCACGTCTGTTCCACCTGAAATTTTATGCTAATATTTGAATGTTTCGCTGATATGTTTTGCATGTTCTGATAGCAAATTTCGTGCTCTATAACACTGCTATAGAAATCTGTTCTCCAGAGGTGTTTGCTTTCTGTTAAGTTCAGGTTATCATTACGGAACGCGAAGTCGTTGAGAACTAGCGTTCCCGTTCTCCACGAATTTTATGCTAACATTTGAATGTTTCGCTAATGTGTTCTATATGTTCTGATAGCCAATTTCGTGCTCTATAACACTGCGTTGCAGTTATTTTGAAAATCCGTTTGATGCCTTGTTTTTCAGGTGGATAATATGGAATGTCAGGTCGATAAGCATCAGCACTTCAGACATCTCCTCCTTTTCGCATTCAACAGAGGTATCAGTACCATTCTTGAAGCGTCTGAACCAATTTTGGGCTGTTTTGAGAGAGAGGGCATCTTCTCCGTACACTTCGCGAATTTCCCGAGCAGCATCAGCAGCTCTGATACCTCTGTTGAATGCGAAAAGGAGGAGATGTCTGAAGTGCTGATGCTTATCGACCTGACATTCCATATTATCCACCTGAAAAAAAGGCATCAAACGGATTTTCAAAATAACTGCAACGCATGTTATAGAGCACAAAATTGGCTATCAGAACATATAGAACACATTAGCGAAACTTCCAAATATTAGCATAAAATTCGTGGAGAACGGGAACGCTAGTTCTCAACGACTTCGCGTTCCGTAATGATAACCTGAACTTAACAGAAAGCAAACACCTCTGGAGAACAGATTTCTATAGCAGTGTTATAGAGCACGAAATTTGCTATCAGAACATGCAAAACATATCAGCGAAACATTCAAATATTAGCATAAAATTTCAGGTGGAACAGACGTGAGCTGCCCAATATCGGCGAGGTGAAGGTTGGTAACTTCAAAATTCTTGAAATTCGTTCCAAAGCGTCCTAGTGAGATTCCCTTGCTGGAACTTCTAGCTCGACCTTTTCCAAATGTATGGAGCAGCTTAAGCGATTTTAGCACTTCGACTATACGTAAATAGAGGCAGTTGTCGAAGGTGCTAATTTTCGCCGACTTCGCTTTCAACTTCAACGACTAAAAAATCCACAAAAATTATTCCCTCAACCAAAGCCGTTTTGATATTCTAAAACTACGTGAAGTTTCCTATCAGATGATATCAAGCTTGCTAGCAAAACATTTCATCTTTGGAACGAAATTTCCGGTTGAAAAAAAACGAAAGTACTTATGTGCCAACCCAATACTTCGATAAACATCTTGCAGGCTTTACGTTTACCACTACGGCTTGCTGGGGCCACCCAATGTAAAAGTCACTGCTGTTCAAATCACCGCTTCTTTCCTGCCATACGTGTCTAGTAGCAATAATCGACACCGGAGGAATGGAATGGCCGAGCGAGCAAGTCACTTTGAGATTCGATCCCGGACGGCGCGCGTGCCTTTGGCACCACTGGTCCTTCGCTGCCGTGCGTGTCACGCAAAAACTCAGAATCATACAAATGTTCCATCGAATATTTGCATGAGACACTTCTACCAAGATGGTATGAAGCCGAATGTCTAATTTGTTGTCATTGCGGGTCATGAATCAATCCCATGCATTGGAACCTGTTGTCCATGATATTTTGCCGAGCGAAGTAAATTTACACCTGTACAGCTTTCGTGAAATGGGAACGTTCTCCTCTTGCGGGGAACTGAAAAGACCCACTATAGTCCTTGTTCTAGAATTATATGCTTTTCATTGTGAATCCCTACTGCTACTAACAATAAGAGGGAGCGCTTTGAGCTCATTCTCACCTTTTGTTTTTCGAATTTTTTTTCTCCGCCATACACACAATGGTAGAAGAAGTGAATTGACATTCACTGGACGAGATTATTCGTGTAACCAAGGGACAGGCCGGTGCAGAGGCCAGAATTTCCGGATTCCAAATTTTTGGCATATGGCGCGTATTCTGAGACAGCAGAACGGAAGTGGACGATGCATGAGATGCCTAGAGTAGCAATGCCACCCCTTCCCCTGCTACAGAGAGATCCGGATATAGGACGTGCTTTTAAGAACTGTTGGCTCTGTATTGGTAACTATCATTTTATTATAGGCACTAATGGCGTACGTGTTTGGCTCAAAAGTCCGTATACGTGGTGACATGATTGATCACAGCAAACCTGCTCTCATAATAATGAATCACCGAACTAGGTCTGGACTTTCTAAACTTTTAAAACTGATTGCATGATGGCCTACCACGTCTACTTTCAGGTTAGATTGGTTGTATTTCTGGAACGCGCTCTTCAAGATGGATCCGTGGTTGTGCACGTCAGAGAAAATCATTCTTAAAGGAATTTTAAGATTGATTCCTGGAGCAGGTTGGTCTCACCTCTCGAGAAATGGTTGGCGGGTTGGTCTGTAGTACGTAACAGGGCAGTCGTAAGTCACCGCACAAAAGGCCGTCGCGCCGCTTTTGCAAATGACGACTCTTCCATGTCGTGGATGGCGACGTAGACAACGTATAAGCACAGTAGCCATGAATGCTTATGGTTCTGCAGTTTAAGTGAAATCCAACAGCTCAATCGACGAAGTAACGCATGTTAAGTAAACCCCCTTCCATCGCCGCACGCGACGGAGCGGCAACTAAAGGCTTTCCTGACGTCAGTTGTTGGCTTGCGCATAGTACCGTTCATGAATTATCTTTACAAAAGTTACGGCAGGGGAAAAGAGGGGAATGAACTCCTTACTCATTTACAAATACAATTTAGCAGGATAGATAGTATTTGGGTAGAACAAGATTCAGATGGGGCGGTGCTACCTCATTGTAGTGGGAGAAAAATAAAAAGCTACGGTTGGAGCGAAAGCGTCATTTATTGTAAATGATATGTTGATGTAAAAACATGAGTAATAAAGAAACATGCCCAAAATATGTACCCACTGAGATCAAAAAAAGTAGAAGATGGGGCAACATAAGTGTCTTCTAGAAAACCACCGATTCGACAAAAATGAAATGATTGTTAGGCAGGTTAGTTCATAGCAAAACGGATTCTCTGTTGGCCATCAACCATAATTACACCATTGGCTTCATGGATTCTTATTGCGTCTTGGAGAGCTTGTTCGCTCACTCCTTTTCTCGCACATCTGAAAAAAACTATCTCAGCGACCATTCACTGCGTCAGGTATCCAACAATACACTTACGCCTCCAGAGCAGTTTGAAGACCTATGGCATCACCTGCCAGTAGGCTAAGTTCTCGAAGAATTGCAAACGCTCTGTCTACAGGGGATTGACGGCTGCAAACACATGAGAATATTTTGTTCAAAAGCCGAAATCAAAGTAAACACGAACATCTCCTGTTGCTGCATCTCCGGGCGCAAGGAATCTTTGCTTGCTTGCATCAAACGAATAGCCTCTTCAATATCATCTGGGGTTACGGTATTCGAGAGTCGAAGACGGGCCAGCGCGGTCGACATCCTATAATGAAAGTTCGATTTTGAACAAGAAATGAGGAGCTGATGAGAACAGTGCACTAGCTATCAAATTAGTGCAATAGAAGGCATACCTTATGACAGATAAGAGAAGTCGAGGTGAAGCAAATGTGGTGTCATCGCTCTCACGAGAAACGCGACGCATATCAACATACATCTCGACGAGCCTTCAAAATGTTGTATAGTATTCAGAATAGAAGTCTGACTCGAACGTTACCTTTCTCGTAGTGCATCTCCTACTATGGGATTCCTTCGCTGCGCCACTTCGATGAGTCGTCTATAAAATGCGATCTTCTTTCGCGATTCCTGCCGAAATTGGAAATGCACCACAGAATTTAACCCACCTGATAAGACGCATGCTGATAGGCTTCATGCCCTCCACTTCTGGTTGTTTAGCATTCATGTGGACATAGGTAATGTGAGATGCAAGTCGCCTGTCACCTTCACGGTCTGGCTTATCCTGGATCAACCAGAGCAGATCAAATCTGAACACAAATCACTCTACCAACTATTCCAGACTATTTTCCAGGCTGCTCTTCAGTAAGTTGGTTTCAATGGGCTTTAGCCAAATACTCGATCGTCTAGATATTGAATTTATATTACAGTTATATGATAATTAATAGCAAATAACCTTGACAGAAGAGCCGCTGGCAGATCGATGTTTTGCTCTATGGATCTCTTGGGATTGTACCTAAAAGTATCTTTTTTTTCGCAGTCTAGGTGGCAACCCTTAATTTACTAACCTTCCGTATGCAGGGTTTGCTGCAGCAATAATAGCAACGCGAGCATTCAAGGTTGTCAAGATTCCCGCTTTGGCAATTGAAATAGTCTGCTGTTCCATAACCTATACAGTTTTTCAGATAATCAAATTCTAGCCAAAGTCTGAAAAAAAGCTGGAAAGGGAGCTGAAGGGAATCTAACCCTAATCCACTAATGAAGTCTCTAAAGCAGCGACAACCTATAACTTGAGTTCAAGCGCACTATTCTGCACTTCCCAGAACGGTAAACAAACGGTACGAACGGTGGCGAACGGTAAACACACCTCATGAATTGACGTCCTATCAGCTTCCATCATTTTATCGAACTCATCAATGCAACAAATCCCGCGATCCGCGAGAACCTAAAAACCAAACGATATTCACGCGAGAAGAAAACCGTAAACCAGTCACGATCCCGGCAAACGATAAGGGGCGATTTTGGCTTGGTGTACAGTTAGATGAGATTCACCATTTACTGTAAGAAGCTCAGGATGGCATCACTAGTGGAAAGTGTGCGCTCTGGCTACGCTGTGGCCTGCGCCGCCTCCCACGCCCTATCGTTTGCAGGGATCATGAAAGTATATTTGGTGGCTGAGATCATACCAGAGCTCCTCCTTCGAGTGTCATCTCACCAGTGAGAGGATCTTTAATAACAGCAGCTGTCAGTCCAACCCCTAAAAGGGATGAGTATTGTAAAGCTCAAAGGGAGTTCCAAAAGTTCTTAATTTTCAAAGCGACAAACCGGATGATCCTCGCCCGGTGGTGTATTGCGATCGAGATGCAAGACGATTGACATAAGATAACAATTGTGATTTGGCAACTCCAGGATCACCCATAAGCAGTACATTAAGACATCCTGGAACATTCACTTTTGGAAGTGATCATTTTTGAAGCAACGAATCCAGAGTTGTTACCTCTTATTTTCATTCCACTTGCATTCTTATCAACGCCACCTACAAGGGCGAGCAGCAAGCTCTTCTTGACATCTGTTAAGCCATAGATCTCGGGAGCGATGGAATATGCCAGCATATCGTACAGATTATCTTGTGCAAGTAGGTCAACCTAAAGGCCTCATGCCTTTAATGGGGATAGGTTACAGCGCATGAGGAATCCTACCTCTTCCTCTGTTAAATCGTCCCCCATTTCCTCGTCTTCTACATGAGAGCGGACGTTTTCAACGAACTAAAAAATTTTTTACTAAAGATATCACGTCTATTTTCAGAGTAAACTTACATGGGCTTCCAGGAATGTATCGGTGACCAAACCGCCACCACCTTGACGAAATCCGGTCCTCATAAGTGGAATCAATACTCCAGATATACGTACGTGATCACCCGGAGCGCATTGTCTTGTTGATTCCCCGTAAATGTTCACAGTGAGCGCACGAGGGATTGATCCCACGGGGACTTGATCACTCTGGATTGTAAATTAAGAACTAGCAGCAATTGAACAGAGAAAGTATAACAAACCAGCTCTTGGATCCTTATTTCTTGGAATTTATTGAATTTCGACCCTCGGACTTGCATGTGTAAACGACCGTTTGCTCTAGACTCTACACAGTCTTTGCTAGGACAGTTCTTTGCTGGCTTGAATTTTGGACCATTCACCTGGATAATAGCAAATTAAGTTTCGTTCGTGGGTTAGACAATACTAGAACTTACGGGTTGATAAACCTCAGCTCCGCATGTGTCACAAGCATAGGTCATCACTTCAACAACAGGTTTTACTTCTGTAGCTCGAATTACAATTCCGGTAACAGTCACAAGTTTTCCCACACAATTAGCCTGTGTTGTAAAAAGAACAGGATAGTAGCATAATCATCAAGGAAGAAGTACGAATTACCTTTATATCGCGAACTGCGACAGGCTTCATAGTGTCGCGATTCTTGAAAGAAACTTCACTATAAGAAGATATATTCGTTTCTTTTCTAGTTCTAGGGAGCTATTAGCGTGTAGTTATGAAGGGGAAAAAACTCACAAACGTCTGAGTAGCTGAGGTGGGTACTTTTTTCGAGCCTCCTGCACACTTCCACCAAGAAATCCTTCTGCGATTTTGGATTGGTCATCCATATGTACTCTTTGGAAGATGAAGGCATCCAAGGCATCGCGAATAGGTGGCTTAATGTGCGATTATGCAGTGAGTTTCTAGAGTAGGCTTTCCATGCTCTTAAAGTTACCTGCCGATCTCCCAGCACTTCTTGGACCATCTCATCGATAACTTCGTTGAATATTTGATGGAATCTAAAATGCGAAATAAGTGACTGAGGCATAATTCGTACTATGGCCTCATAGCCAGCAATGCGACACTTGCCCTCAGTTTAATTTTTTTCCTTATGTATTAATTTCAGGAATGGTCATTTAAGTTGCACGGACTGCTTGAGATCGACCTCTCCAAGTAAACTTTCTGCTTTTGTCGGCGCTCTTTCCTCTGAGTGGCGTTCCAAAAGCGTAACGATCTTCTTTTTCCAAACATGGTTTATCTCATTGCCTCGCTTACACTTAAACCAACCTCTTGTTCACCAGAACTTCTTCAGCATCTTCGCATGCTCTGGTTCCCGCGTAAAGGAGCGGGCTAAACGATGAGTGCGCTTACGTCCCGGGTTTGGTTTTATTTTTTTGCACTGTAGGCTTTTCCAGCAGGACCATAGTGAAACGGCTACGTAATTCTACTGTCTACTTCGGATCGCGTGACTTCTACTACTTCGGCCAAGGCGCCCACCTCCCAACATGAGCGCAACTTTATTGTCGCTTTTCCAAAAGCTGTGCAGATTTACGATGTATGACTGCAGTTTTATTTGTGATACTGAAATATTGTGGCTCGTTATCTTGAATCCACCATCAAAGGTCGAACGTTGCAATCACAGCGCTGGCTCTATTGGAAAACCCGGTCATTCCATATTTGATGTTTTTTTTTCCAAAGATGCTAAATTTAGTTTTGAATTTTGCTAGTTCCCGTCAACGGGGGGGGATTATATAGTCATATAAACTCTTGCGTGATATTTTGCGACTCGTTGACGAGTCACTTTTTGCAATTATTGGGAGTGCTGCTAGATGGTGCGAAGAACTGTGAGCCTGGAATAAGGATTCAAAAAAAACCAAAACCTGTAACCCGAGCCTGAACGTAGTGGCGGAAGAACATTGCGCGACCCATCCCTGGTGCAGTTGGCTCATACTCCCGGGGATATCTATCACCAGGTGCTCAAAAGTCCAGAAGCATCTGCCTGAAGGTTCAAGGTAGTTCTCATACCTTGACTCACGAACATTTCTGCACCCCATCCTTCTACCTTTTCCGCTCATCCCCATACCATATAACTCATAACCCACAATTTTGTTGTTGAGTTTATAGGATACAAAACGGTCCGGTATCATAGGAGGGATTGCTCTGTTTTTCTCAATCAATGACGCCTTGATTCCGGTCGATCTCTATCTCGTCACTGTCTCTGATTGAACCTGTGCTAGTCCTCTATTACATTTCTTTCATCCTCCTCTACTTTTTTGCTTCAGCCCTCCGTTATCTCGTATGAGTTCTTGGATCATCTAACTCTTGCTATTCGTTATTCTGATCACTACCGCTGGGAACCTTCTGCATTTTTTTTCTGGAAAGAATCTCCGGTTTAAAGTTTGAATTCATTCGGTGCACGCCTCGTGTGCCAAAAGCCTCAGAAATTTACCTAGCATTCAGGACTTCGGGTAAAAGCACGTATCCGTGACTCACCGTCGGGCGTTCCCCTCAATGAGAGTAGAAAGCGTCTCGTCAAATCGAACGACATCATCTAGATTGACGTAAAGTGCCACTTGCTCGCGTTCAGCAATGCGTAGTACTTCATCACGATAGCAGAAGACCTTAATCAAAAGAATTAATTCGGAAAATTGGAGGATGTGTTCATGGTGGCACAGATATTTACCCAGTAAGCTAGACCGTGGACCTACCTTTGACCCGTTCTCGTCCAGGCCGTAGTAATTCTCAATAAATTCCCGAACTTGAGCCTTATGCTTGTCGTAATCGAGGCTTTCTTTGTTGAATGACATCTTTTATACTAAAAATATAGTTATGAGTATGCTTCAAGGTAATCATAAATAGCCTACAACGATTAACTGAGAAAGAAATAGAGAGCAAGAACCATGGACCGCTAGTAGAAGGGAAGCTTGTGCAGCATTTACCCGCAAACATTCGAAGGTGATAGTTCCCGCGTTTTTCGTTCGGCGCGCAAATCATTTCAAAACACAACATTGGAGCGCGACTTGGCACTAGAGCGCGTCTCTATGGCAGGGCTTTAGTGTTTGTGAAGCTTGTGGAGTTGGGGATGTATTTCCTCTCAAATGAGCTTTGTTTTGACCTTGGGGACACGGTAATCCTGCTTCAGTTTGACAGAATTTTCGGGCTTTCCGTTGACCGAATCTTACTCGACTTCTTCCTTGTCTTAAGGTGAAATAAGCACCTTAAAAACGCTTATCCAGTATTGTGTAGGCACTGATTATACAGATATGGGTACTATTCAACCGTTACTAACTCGAAACTCAATTTTTTTGCTAAAATTTTGGCCATAAGGATAGTTCAGTGCCCTGTGGTTGCGATCAATCATATAGTTTTTCCGCTATAGGGTTGTCGTGTTTTTTCGAGACCCTGCGCAGGGAGCAGCGTTCGATGGATTCCTATTGGTGGTCGATTGGCCGCCAAAAGGGGGGGGGGGTCGTACTTGGGCTGGGAAAAATTTATTTTAATAGTTGATTTTTCTCGCTTTGCGGACGTTTTGGAGGGGGGGGGAGGGTTGTATATTCCGGCTAGGACCCCGGCTCGGACAACTTTTTAAGCTTCGAGTATAAACCTAATAGCCACAGTGCAGCCATGTCGAGCATCGTAGGAGCCATGGGGGGGGGTCGTACCAGCCCCTGAAAAAAAAGGGGGGGGTCGTAAAAGCTCGACCAAAATCCCCATCGAATGCTGTGCCCTGGCCCGCCACTTTCCCTTGAACTGGGTGTACACCTGTACTGGGTTAAGTGTCCGCAGGTCACAAAAGTCAGCATTAATTTTTTTGCGCTGGCGCCATTTTTCAATGGGGTCAAATCGGTCCACCTATAACAAAATTCGAGTAGGTCTTCATTACTCTTGGTCTCTTGAACGACTATGAACGTTCGCTTGAGCCAAAATCGCTAAACCGCCCGCGTCAAGGTTAGCGGCACACGTGTGTATTTGGAGCGCTTGAGCCGTGATCGGTCTGTGCAAAGTCAAGCGCTTTACTAGCAAGAGAAATACGGCCAGTAGGGACAGCACCCTTTCTTGTTGTCTGCAATAGTCATTCTTCTCGTTGCTGAGCTCAGTATCAACAGAGGAAAGGATCACTATTTCAGTGGAAGCGCAGCAGACTGCGTCGTCACGTGCACCCCCTTTCTTACATTCTTAGCTCCATTGGCATCCCATGAAGTGTAATATTCGTATTCAAGAGTCATACGCGTGTCCTAGCGACACTTTTTCAGTGCCTAATTTGTTATTTCGGGTACCACCATGCTGCTGAAGGCCAAGCGGATATAAAATTCATGTTCAGGAGGTAAATCTGCCTCTGGGGGGCAAGTTTTCAGCTATTTTAATGATCTAGAGTATTTAGTACTGGACGTGACTAAAATTTTCAGACAAGTTGCGCTCATAGAGAAACTCGTTAAAAACTGCGATGATTTTGGAGAATGGGTTAGTAATCTGTAATGTGTAGCAAGGAGGCATAGGGGAGTTCAGTACCCGTGGTTGCGAATGCATGCAATTAGTTTTGAGCGGCTAGCCGGGGTTTTGTACGTTTTTCGGGCCCGGCTACCTTTCCTTCAACTTCGGTGTAACGCTGCTAACTGGGGTCAAGTGTCCGCAGTCGTTCAAAGATCACATTTACTTTTTTGCACTGCGCCATTTTTTTTTCCCAAATCGGAGGTGGGCCAACCATCTTTAAAACCGAATTTCGAAATACTGTCTCTCAACTTACAGCGTCATCGATTGCCGGACCCGGTGTGGCGTGTCAGCGCAGAAGGAGTGCGCACGACGTGTCGTAAGCCTTTCTCAGCATTTTTGTTGAAACCGCGTCATTGCGACAGAAAGGGGTAGAAACGAGTAAGGTACGAAGCGTATACAATACGTAATGACTTGTCTGGCTTAAAAAACTGGTGCGAACGACTCTGCCCAAACCGCAGCAAAATGCAGCCGCGACTGCCACGCCCGCACCGTCCGAGTTCAATGATGAGATGATGTATACTTGGTCTCGCGCTTGAACACGACTATGACGGTTCGCTTCGGCGCCGGAAATCGGCTAACCGCCCGCTGCAGCAGGTAGCGCACCACGTGCTCTTGTTTGACCCTGAACCATGATCGGTCTGTGCAAAGTCAAGCGCTTTACTAGCAAGAGAAATACGGCCAGTAGGGACAGCACCCTTTCTTGTTGTCTGCAATAGTCATTCTTCTCGTTGCTGAGCTCAGTATCAACAGAGGAAAGGATCACTATTTCAGTGGAAGCGCAGCAGACTGCGTCGTCACGTGCACCCCCACATTCTTAGCTCCATTGGCACCCCATGAAGTGTAATATTCGTATTCAAGAGGTCAAACCGTTCCTGCGGACACTTTTTCAGCAATTCTGGTTATTTCGGGTATCGCCATACTGCTGAAGGCCAAGCGGATATAAAATTCATGTTCAGGAGGTAATCTGCCTCTGGGGGCTAGTTTTCAGCTATTTTAATGATCTAGAGTATTTAGTACTGGGACCAAATTTTCAGCCAAGTTTGCGCTCATAGAAAAAACTCGTTAAAAACTGGCCTGATTGTGGAGGAGTGGGTAGTAATGTTCAATGGTGCTAGAAAGGAATCATTCTGATGGGAACGTTTCCCTCCATTCTCCTTTATACTTAGCTTTCACGTTCAGCCTTCCATATTACTACATTTTACTGTTTAGGATGGGCGATGGGATGCAATTGCTTCGTTTTTCTGAATCGTCACTTTGGCTCCGATCAATCGAGACTCGACAAAATACTGACCTATTACGCTCAATGTGGATACAATTATCAGGTATTTAATAGATTGTATTTGTTGTCATGAGCTCAGAGTTTGCTTTCGTCTAGCCCTTTAATGCTTGTTTTAGTTATCGGGAACTGTTCTACGAGTAATATAATCCTACAAAAAATAATCCCCTAATCATAAGAATGTCTGTAAATGTGTGAGTGGGTGGTGTGTCCGACCGTCCGCCCGCCCCTCCGTCCGTCCATCCATCCGTCCGTCCGTCCGTCCGTCGTCCGTCTGTCTGTCTGTCTGTCTGTCTGTCTGTCTGTCTGTCTGTCTGTCTGTCTGTCTGTCTGCTGTCTATGTCACGAAATTCATTTCGTTTTACTGCTGCATGCGGAAGTAGTTTGCTTCGGGTGCAGGGGATGCATGAAGCGCAAGGGCGCTACAGCGGCGGGGTCGTATGCGGTCATAGAGTATTTGTTAAGGGAAAGAAGAGAAAGTTTGAAAGTTGTGGCTCCGGCAGCAGCTCTAGCACTGACGTCTCAAAACATAGCTCTGTTCCCTGAGGGAAAATGTGTTGTGCTCGCGACAGCATGCGTTGAATTGGTGTATATAATGCAGAGTATAGTGCCTTCTTTTGCGTGGCTTCTTGGGCAGTTCATTGCAGAGCAGCTGTGAAATGCAGACTAACCTTGCAAAGAAAATTACAGTCAGATAAGAGCAGATATGAGAGTTATCAATAATACTGAACGCCGAGTTGTATAGTGGCAAACGGCGCCGCCTACTATGCAAGCGGTTCGGGGTCAGGTACCAAAGCCATTGTAGACTTCCATCCTTCCACAAGATGGCTGGTCACTGATTTGGAGGACGAAAACACAGACTGGTACACCAGCTGGTCCCCACATGTCATTGTGTGGGCTAAATTGCAACTAAACGCCACGATTATTAACGCCTTCGCGGCGGCGTGTACTCCCGGGAGTACACGAACTCCGCTTTTGGCGAATCGTGTACTCCCGGGAGTACACGCGCCTATTCGCTGGTTTTTTGTATTTTCTTTTCTTTTTCCACTAACAATTGGATATAAATAATAATCAAACAATAAATAATATCCACACATTAGAAGAGGCGTGTATACCTGAAAAAATACTCAAAAACTTTCCTCTTTAGGCGAATCGTGCATTCTTGGGAGTACACGCGCCTCTTCTCTCGTTTTTTGATGTTTTTTCTTCTTTTCACTGGCAATTATGAACAAATCATAAAACAAATAATATACAAGTAATACTAAGAACATTTCTCGTGTATTTTTTGAAACCAGGTTAGGCAGTAGTGGTTTTTACAAGAGGAACTAAGAACTTTCACAAGAATCAAAGTCTACATCTTCTTTGTGCGGTACCAGTGAACATCAAAAAGGGCAAGAAAGCTAGTTCATTTACCGAAACTTAGATAAAACTTGTAGAAGGGAAAAATGTAAAAAGAATGGCGAAAAACGGCTTTCGTGAATTTTTAGGCGTTTATGGTTCCGTCGCGAGCGCGCAACCATGAACGGGATGACTGCCTAAGTGTCGCCCGCCGCGAACGCGTCGCTCGACAAACGGGAGTTTTTGACGAAACGGCGCCGCCGCGAATGTGTTAATGAAAACGGGATGCGTGGTACATCCTACATTTTGGCCAACATCAAAAATTTCATCCTTATCTATGCTTGTATATGTAGCTGAAGCTCTGATTGGATGTTTGAAGCTTTGCTGGGGTTATTGTTTTTATCCGCAATGTGGCATCAAGAGGGTTATGATTATTTCCACAAAAATTGCACAATGGAGTAAAATTGTTGCACCACTTATATTACTCTCTCCACCTCAACGACTGTGCTTATTGTAATTGGTTGTCATAAAATAATAAAGGCAAGATGTTCAGATAGCGTACTCTAGGAAGTATTGTGCCTTATACAAATGCTGAGAATTTCATCAAATTTCAAGTGCTTTTCGTTATTATTGTATTATTATTATTGCAGGTCTTATTATATCCTGAAGGTACAGATAAATGTCCACTTGCGACGGAAAGAAGTCGAATATACGCGGAAAAGAAAGGCCTCGTTCATTACGACTACGTATTGCACCCTCGGACTACTGGTTTCGTGTACATTGTACAAAATATGAGAAAAGGTATGCTTTTTTGTATCATCCTTGTAGCAATCGATTGATGCTGTCTTTCGTATTTTTCTCAGCTCTCATGTTCTAGTAGTTGTTACACCATGGTGACTGCTGTTTTCTGCTGCAGTACGCGCTCCGAAGGTTATCACCAGAATGCTGAGTTATAGACAAAAGTCAGATCCCAAGCGGTACTTGAACCAGTATTTCTCGTGACCGGCGAGTATCCATCACGCCACCGGGAAACTTCGTGGAGTCTTATCCTAGCTCGCCACGAGACTCCGGAAAACTTCCAGAGTCTCGTGGAGCTGTTTAGCCGATATCGGCAGTGAACCGCGGGACTGAGGGCTTTAAATGTTTTACAACTTATGCGCCGTTTCATTCCCTAGTCGCGAAGTATGAATGCTGGCTCAGGCTTCAGAATATTCATGTTTGTCAACTTCTGTTTTTGAGGAGAGTTCAGCGGTTGCGGGTGCCAAATATTTAAGAGTAATGCTAAGGAAATGCTGAAGATCATGCTGGTGCAACACTTTTGTGTCTGTGTGATTGCCTCATGTTGTTTGGGTCGTGCTAAACAAGAAGGTTTCCTTTGTTTAGCTGGATATATCGACTATATATACGATGTGACGATTGCCTTCGGCGATTGCATTGTACAATCGGAGGTGGAATTCGCTCTTAATGGCGTTTGTTCGAAGGACGTCCACTATCAGGTGAGTGTTCGTATAAATCTGAATCAGTAATTGTAGGTCCAAGTAGTAACGGCCTGTCATTTTACAGCACTACTTGGTCTTTTCTTGGCGATCAGCGAACCACAGCCCACCCATTCTCCCTCTCCCAGCCCGCTTGGCGATAGTTGTTTGGGGAAAAACTGGGCAACCTTGAAGAGTGGTGGCAAGTGTTGAAAATTCTAGTTCAGAAACTTAGTAGGAGCGGTAAGGAAGAGTCGTTTTGACGCCGCTATACATCATGATGCTGTACCCCGGAAGTAAAGGATCGTTGCTATCTAATGTAACTGGCAAGAGCTTCCCTCAAATCCTTGAGCAGAAAAATCGAACGAACTTCTTTCAATCAGCTCAGCAAGGGTCGAAGTCCTATTTCTCGCTGATAACTTCGAACCAGGAACGTTGACGTGTTCATTTAGACAAGAAAAGATCGGACGAAAATGGTCGGAAAATAAAGCATTTCCGTAACCAGCATAAATTATCGTGTTATCCCAACCATGAACGATCCTTTGACTCACTCTGTAGCACATCTGTGAAAGAACTGAACACTTGCAAGAGCTACAACAGATGAGCTGTGGCCGTAGTCTGGTGCAAAGCTGCGCGGTCTTACACTTGACACTCGAGGTGAGTGGTTCTACCTTCAAGAGGAGCTGCGCGACTGCATATCTAGCGAGCTAAGGCTTTCGTAATCTCGAAGTTAAGTTGTGGAAAAGGTAACCCTGGGGCGAGCTTATCATTCCGAAGGAAACTTCCTAAATCACGACTCCCCTGTCGAAACCCAAGAATGTCTCATTTGATTTATCATATCTGGTTGCTAATTTGATTGAATGATCACCTCTTTTTCAGATTAGGAAATTGAAGATTAGTGACCTTCCCGAGGAAGACGAAGAACTCGCCAAATGGCTGATCGACCTTTGGGAAAAGAAGGAAGAGAAACTACGTCAATTTTACTCGCAAGATCCGAATAAAAGAGAGTTTGAAAGTACTCCCAATGGGCGGGATTATGAGGTAAAGTGTGATTCTTGATTTCTTAAAACTGTAACAGTCTTGTTCAGAACTTTTCTTTGAATGCGATACAACGAATTTAATTTCAACTTTATTCTGCGTCAAGGCAAAGGCTGGCTGCATAAACAGTTCTTATGCAAGTCAATATGATAAAATGTCAAAAATCCAAAGCAAATGTTGTGGATATATGACGTTATTGCTGTTTTGTTGACTCAGGCGGCGACTCATAAATAGATTCGGCTTGTTGCGTAAAACCATGAAGTCCAGCGAGGATGCAAAAATATCATGGAGGTGGCTTGAATGAAGTGATTCACTGCTTGAATGTTTAAAATGGGGCGTCGGATAATGATAAAAGTCATGTTCTGAACGAGAAAGCTGAAAGATGTAATTTAGAGTTATTCTCAATTTTCAGATGAGCAGAGGCGTACACGTGACCCAAATATGCATCATCATCTTCTGGACTGTGACGACTTTGATTTGGTCCTACGGATTATTGATGGTATTATTATTTTGAAATTTCCCACTGTCCCGTCTCCCAGTTAGAGCAGTCCTGCGGAGCTCTGATTGGAAGACGACTCAAAGCCTTGCAAGTATGACCATTCCCCCTTCAGAATTCCTCCCCTCCCTTGTACCCATGCCCCATAGTGCCTAATCATCTCTCGACTGAACGGGGAGGGGGCATATAGCGGCATGAAAGCGAGATCGACGCTCAAATACGATCGCCCACCCCTCGCTAGGGATCTCCAACGTACTACGTGCCCTGCTTGCAATGACTTAGCAAATTTTGCTGAAATTCGAACTGTTTGATTAATTACTTTTAATTTATGATTAATGGTTTTATTCAAATTTTATTTTAATTTAATTAATCAATAATTAATAATTAATTCGAATTTGAATTGAAATTGTCAATTCTCAATTCCTTCACTATGGAGCTTAATGCCAGCGATGGAATCCATAAAGTCAACGAAAAGCTCTTGAATGTTGCAGTCATTGCGATAATTCTACCTGCCTAGAGATCTGTGTGCTGTGGCACTGTGTCTATCTGCTTGCTTTGCTCTATCCTTAAAGATAGCTCCCGCAGAAGTGTCATGGGTAGTTGCTGTTCAGTTATGAAACAGTAGCTGATAAGTAATTGCTAGAAGAAAAAAGCAAGAAGAGCCCTCAAGAACACCATAAACAAAATCTCTCCTTGATAGACCGCTCCGCGTCTCTGTGCAACCCCTGGCTCACAAATCGCTTTATCACATCTCCCAATAGTGTATATCATCCAATGCATAGATAATACGAAAAAGAACAACATCACGTACGAAGAACACTTAAAAAAAGAAAATTCTAAAAACTCGGCGTACGAGTTCGGGGTTACGGTAGCGTGCATCTTTTTAGTTGTCATGTAGCGTGCATCTTTTAGTGCATGTCGAGTTTTTGCACCACAAAAATTGCATTGCTCGTGATTTTTACAAGTTATCTTGCGAGATAATTTGCAATTGGCTGCATGCGATCCTAATGAATAAAATGTAATAAAGGAAAGCAGAATTATTTATGGGCACGAGCGTGGTCAGCAAAAGGACATGCAATTCCGATTAATGCCCGCCGCCCAACAAAGAACAACTGAGCGGCTCCCGTCAGAGGGCATCTAGCAAGTGGGCGGTCCAACTGGGCGGGCGTTAGAACTAGAACTTTCAGCGGCTGCAGCTGAAGTCGAGTCGCGAAAGTGGGACGGTCTCTAGATTGGGGGCAGGACTACTTGCACAAGGAAGGACGACCATGTACACTTGAGCGCAGGGCTGTCTTTAAGCTCTGTTGTGTTTTCTCTAGAGTACTAATGGATTTCTCGGAGCGTTAAAATTGGCACTTTGCCCACGACATGGCTCACCATGCGGCGCACGGTTTTTCAAGCCACTGTGGAGGCGCTGGGCACATAACGGCGCGCGATTTTCTCGTTTGCAGTTTTTTTCATATGTTTTTCGAAAATAGTGTTCCTGTTGAGGAACCATGTCCGAAGGGGTACTTGTCAGCTGCTATCACTCCCTGCCACCCACCAGTGATGTTCACATCCAGCCCCCTAAATCACTTCTCGGAGCCAACTTTCCACCGTTGCTGTGGCGCGAGTTATGAATTTGTCGACCGTGCCCTTTCAAAGACCATGGTACGTTCACACACGTTGAGGGTGTACGTGACTATCAGCCCACCAGCAGACAATGTGGTTTCCCCCGCCCGAAACCGCACGGGGTTAGAGCACAGGGCCGTGGGAAAGTCCAGTTCGTCCATGCTCCGCCTACCGTGTCGCGCGCAGCTCTCTTGGCTTTTTGGCGTAAATGGTAGGCGCGCCACTTGCCACCACAGCACCCCCGCCTCAACTTTGACTTTGAAAAACTCCTGTTAATTTGAACCCTCCAATGAATAATTTGGCAGTTCAGACTTCGCGACGCAGCAATTCGGTCGTGCGTTGACCGCATCGAATGTGCTACTGAAGCGCTGCCGTCGCGAAGTCTTAACGCTGCCTTATGAAGGGTTAATAGTTTGTTTTACAGGTTCCATACATGGGCACGTTTTCTGCTATATCATGCACAATTTTTGGTTTTATTCAATATCGATGGGATGGCATTGAGTGGCTTACTATTCAACTCTTCAACAGCTCGTAAAAGAACCCTCTCTCCTAACTACATCATTTTCTTCACTAAAGGGTACAGAACGATCTTTTAATTTATATGACCAGATTTTATTTTCTATCCTCAACTGAATGGATTTCTTTGATGAGCTTTGAAATGAGTACCTTTTTGAAATTCTAGGGGTTGATCAATCTTATCATGTGATGCTATGTTTAAAAAAATAACGTATTTGAGCATATCTATCGAGATGGGTATAAGAGGAATAATTTTTACGGTCACTTGTCGTATCACTGTCTAGTTTCAATGAGATTCTTTCTTTATTTCTTGTTTGGATGACCAGAAATAGTTTTTATCGTGTTGATTATGTTCGGACTGACCCATGATTTTGTTTTACTCACTGAGTTGTAAGTGTCATATTGTTGTTTTCATAGAGTTCTAATGTGATTCTCAGTGTCTACAGTAGCTATGGGCATTTTACTAGGGATACAGATATTTGGATCAATAGGTTGAAACCTAATAAAATAGGAAGTGTTGTGTGTTGTTTTGTCTGCAATAACTTAACCCAGCTGTTCCAAGATAAGATTAAATTTAAAGGAACGCCCCAGCTTCAGGAAAGGTGATTTATGTGGCTCAAATACTAATGACAAGATCATGAATAACAAAAAAAGCACACAGACCAAAAAAAAACACTGAAAACTCGCCCGAAATCGCGGTATGGGAAACAGCTATGCCGCGTTTGTACGTGCATAAGGAGCAGAGCAGGTATTGTTGGACGAGTTCTCACTATGTGCCAGCTCTTTCACTTTATCATCTCACTTCCACCGTTCCATTTAGAGAGAGTTAGCAGGGGAACGACCGCACCATCAGGTAGCAGGTAGCAGAAAAGTTAGGCGCTGCCTGGAGAATGAGTGGAGCCGTGGTTCCGTCGGTAGTATAGTATAGTATTTATTACACAACAAAATTGTGTGTTTACATGAACAACTTAATACCAGCAACAACTACTGTGAAACATTATCAGTAAATATTCAAAACGACAATAACAAACGTAACGTGAACTCATATAAGGCCTCATGGACTCAAGCGTTTATTCAATAGTGTCTTGAAAGTGCTGTAACTTAACGGTATAGGGATGCTTCTTATCGAGTTTCTCATATGAAGATAAGGCTCTGTGAGTAAAGAAATGTTCTGAGAAGGCTGCGTTCATACTTTGCGGCAGCGTACGCCAACACACGCTAGCGTTTCCAGCGTCTGCGCGCAGCAGCAGCGGCAAGGAAAAGGTATATCGTTCTAAGCGTATGCCAGCGTCACACGGCATGTGGCGCTAAGCGTGCGAGGGCAAGGACAGGCTGTAGATACCCTCGGCTGATCCTAGCTTTTTCGTATTCAACTAAGCGGTTTGCAGGCGGCGGGGAAACTCAGAGAAACTATTCGGGAGTAGTAGGGAGAGTAGCCGACCTGAGTTTCGGCTAAGGCGTGGGCTCGTGACATCGTGCCGCGTGTGAAGGCCCACCGCAGCTCTAATACTATATACTGAATTGGCTAAATTGCATAATGCAATGGTTGAATTGCATAATACATAAATGCAAAGCATGAACCCAATCATTACGATCATCATTACGATAAGCGTGGGATCATATAGGATCTTTCACAAGAGCGAGAGCATGTATAGTGCAGTTCATTGCGGACGGTTGGGCGTGTTCGTGCGGCTGCGTTTGGCGCGGTGCAAACTCGTTCTCCACGAGTTGTTCAAGCGAGCAAATGACAATACTGTATCATACCTTTCGTATTACTTGTTTTCTACTGCTTTTTGTCGCATGCCCGTTTCAACAAGAAGGCAGAGAACAGCTCAAAGAGGGTGACACACTCATACTGGCTGACACGCCCAACCGTCCGCAGCGAAGTAGAGTGTATTTGTTCAGCCGTGATATTCGACCAGAGACCGTTCATACGAATTACTAAAAGTTCCAAAAAAAGGAGCAAGTCTCCAACAGATCAGCCCTAAAAAGGAGATGGTACCTGCAAAAACCAGCGTTTTCATAGTTCGATTCACACTTCCGGTGCCGATCAATGAAAAAAAGAACATTCGTTCCAGACAGTTCGGCCCACACTTATCGTCAATTTTAAACCGATTCCATTGTCAAGGTTTCATGTGCGGTGGCGGCTATACACACGCCGCATTCACACCAAGCGACGCGCAAGCGAACTGTTTTACTCGCCCCTACTCTCCCATAGTCTCTAGTTCCCCGCCGGCTGCGAACCGCTTACTGAAAACGCTGGTGACGCTAGATCGATATCTATCCTTTCCTTGCCACTGCCGCTGGCGAACGCTGGAAACGCTGGCGTACGCTTCCGCAAAGTATGAACGCAGCCTTACGCATCTTTGAGCTGCTAAAGCAGTATAGGCAGGACTACCATCCAAAGAAGGCGTCGCTAACATTAGATGCACAAAAGGCGTGCTTTAAAGGTTTGGATCCGCAACTAGCTAATTTCATGTTTCAACCTTTCAGAAGTATGAGAAGTTCAATTTGTTGGCTAACTGGCCTAGCCCAGTTTCGGACAATCGAGTTCACGGAGGTGAGCAGGTTCTTACATTTTGCACGCAAATAAGTTTCTGTGGTCAAACGAAGGGTGTTCAATGTATTCTCGGTATGGGTATGAAGGAGAAGGCAGAAAATTCTGAATAAAATTTATTTTTCAATGTAGTCCCCATAACCTCAATACACGTTTGCTCGGGAAACTAACTTTTCAATACCCTCTGAAAATATTTTTCCTCCTTGTCCCCAAAATGTGCGTTAATTGCCGCCTTCAGCTCTTCATCGTCAGAAAATCGCTTTCCTTTAAGACATTTTCAAGTTGGAGAGCAACGAATGATCACTAAACATTTTTTCGATTTTCTTTTCATTTTTCTCAATTTTCACTAATCGTTTTCTTCACATTGTCGCACAAGTCATTCTGACCTTCTTCACCAAGGATAACTAGAATAGCATTGGTGATAGCTAATAGAAAATTTCTATTTATACCCTCGGGGAGTGTCGTTATCTACTGAAATGATTCAAATTCATTCGTCACTGCTAACCCCGGAATACTTTGAACGGCTCCCATCCTTCCCGACAGCCCATCCTTCCTCCAAAACTATAC